CGTTCCCGAGCTCTGAAAGCCTTGGCCACGGGCTTTTCGGGGCCCGGCTCCGGCGCGCAAGTCGAGCCCCGCTCGCTTCCCCCTTTTCCGCACAGCGGGAGGCGGGTCTCCCAAGGCGGGCTGCCGCGGACGGACCGGGAGCGAAGGAGCTTCGGGGCCCCGCGGGAGGCGCCCAAGGTTTCTGGCGGTCGCTTTCCTCCTCCCCGAGGGCGGCGACCTCTCGCGGCGGTCCGCAGGAAACGTCCGGGTCCCGCGCGCTGTCCTTCGGGTCTCTAAATTAATCCCTTTTTTTAACCAGCGCCTGCTCTCAGGGCGGTTTATAGAGCTGAGGGGGGGGGGAACATACAGTGTAATATGTGCAGTGAGGAACGCCAGCCTTCCATCCGCTCGGAGGGCCCTGCTAGTGAGGTGGCCGGGCTCCCCAGCTCGTGGTCTCCTGCTGCCTCGCTCGCTCATTTCGGACGACCCGAGGGGAGAACACACACACACACACCCCCCGGCATTCAGAAGGGATGCAGAAACGCTAGCAACTGGGTGGGAGTCGAGACTAACATTTCCGGAAATGTTGAGGCCTTGAAAAACGAGGGGCGGGACTGTTCCCCCCTCCAATTTTCCGGGTTTTTACCAGACCGTCCCACTCTCCTGCTCAAAACTGGGAAAGATAGGGATAAGAAACTCCTTTTGGGACCAGTTATTAAAGAAAGGTGGTCTCTCACATTGGAACACAGTAAGAGTAGGTATACAAATGACTAATTGGGGGGGGGGAGGCGCCTAATATTCCCTGTCTCTGCCAACTAGCAAGCAAGTACATTAAGTAGATGGCTCTTGGAAAGAAGTTGAAGGGCTCACCGGTGCATATGCTGCCCTCCTCAGCCTACTGTGCAGCCATCTTAAAAGGGATGCATTTGTAGCTGTGGCACCTAGTGAGGAAATGCAAAACCAAGAACAAGCAGAGAACTTCTGCAGTGCCACATCCTCAAGATATGGCTCCTCTCATAAAAATACTGTACACTAGACTGCTTTGAAACTGTATTTCAGCTACTTGGGTGAACTGATGCATGGGGAATATCTTAAGTTGAAGTGAGGTGAAAGCAATTAAAAAGTTCTAGCTCTCATATTAGATGGCAGCCCATTCACATTTGCAGTGCAGCCAAGAAGGGGTGACCAGACATGTATGAATCAGCCTTTACATATCATGTCCGCTATTAGTTTTGTCTAGAATGAGTAATAACATGGTTATTCCAGGGTGCCTACATTACAGAATTGGTCAGAAAACTGCCAGAACGCTTATGTAGATCCCATGCAATCATCACTCATTCCTCTTAGGCAGAAGCTGGGAACCCTCAGACTTCCAGGTGTTAATGAACCATTGTGTGTATTACATTTCACCACCAGTTAGGCTTTGCTAGAACTGGTGCAAACTGGAATTCAACCACAGCTAGAGGGCCATAGGCTATCCAGCTCCGTCTCAGAATGATGCTTGCTGTATTATTTGCAAAAAATATAGGAAACAAATGGGTCCACCTGGCATAACAGTGGAAATTCACAACTGCTTATTTTAGAATAGGTAGCCATATTAGTCTGTGCTAACATATCATCCTTGATAGACTTCGTTTTTTAAACTTTGCTTGTGTGATATATGTACACATTTGATATGAATTGAAATTGATTTCTTTTGTGGTGTAAAAAAATTCTTCAGAGCCCTAACATATTGAGCCATATGTAAACTAGCTCTCTTGTTCCTTGATCTGCAGAACTTGAACACTGCAAACAAGGAAACATTACTCTCTTCCTGAAAATAGTAAGCAATTTGGTGAAAGCAAACATGTAGCAAATAGTACTGGAAGTACAAGTATTTCTTTAAAACATTTGCAAACAAAAAGGAATGATTTTCTTTTAAATCCAAATCTTCAAGTTTCCACTGTAAAATAAAATGGTTTTATGTCAGTTCCTGAAGATAATGATAGTCCTACTTTACTGCAAGGCTGCTGCGTTATTCTATAGGATGTAAAGCCAGGAGAAGATGAGGTGGACAAAAGATATTGCTGTCACTTTCATTTGTACACATTGTTCCCTCATCTGTTGGTCGGCATGGAGAGAGAGAGAAAACAGCTAGCTCCAGCAGATGGATGAGAAAAAGTCCTTTGGAATTTTTTAGAAGCAGTCTGATGATGTCCAAAGATGTAGCTACATTTTTTATATACTCTACAAGTCTATATGTTTTGTGTATATTTATATATTTATGGTAGACAAACCTGTAGTGACTGATGGGGGGGCACTACTTCCTTATGGAACCGGGAGTATAGTAAAATGAAGGCAGGGCCCATAAATGAGTTGTACTTTGTGGGTTTTTAAAAAATCTGTTACTATATTAGCAGTTTGTGCGCTTTAATTTCCTTGTCTCCAGTAAGCATTAAGTAAGAGAAAGCTTTGTTGTGGGGTACATCTCTTTCTTCCACCACATTGTGTTTTTTGGGATTTGATGGTTCTTGTTTGGGGCTTGCTGCTAATGCCCTCTGCCTCTCTGTATCACACATAGGAATTTCTGAAGAAGGGGAGACTGAAAAGGCTTTTGGCAAAATCCCCCGGTGCCAACAGAAGTGAAGCATGACAGAAAGAAGGTAGACAGAGAAAAGGTTCTTCCACAATACTAAAATTAGGGTTATTCAATAATGTTGAAATGTGACAAATAAAAGAAACTGCTTCTTCCAAAAAAACCACCACCCTATGAAACGTATTCATACTTAATCACCACCAAATTGGACAACTTCAAAAAGGATTGCACACATTAATGGAACATAAGACTCAACAGCTACTACGCATAACAGCTATTCAGTGTGGTGCACACCAGCCAGGGAGTGTTATTATGCACATGTACTGTTATGTCTCCTTTCCTTAAGCAGCTCTTTGGGCATTATGGGAAGCTGAATATTGGGCAAGATAGGCCTTTCGTGTGTTCTAGAACACCTCTTTTTGTGTTCTTCAATCCAAAAGTTTGCCAAATGGCACATTAAAATGTTGTTTAGAAGTCAACATTTTTGCCAAAATTTATCTTCCCCTATCATAGTTCTCTATTGAGCCATATTAGTTCAGGCAGTTTGTATGTTCAAAACTCACAGTTCAGCATCTTCTTGAACTGAATCTACTTCAAGTGACTCATTTTGTAGATTTAAGTGCTAAAGATATTTGCTTGTACTAATCCACCAACCATATGCAATTTTATTGAAAAAAAATACAAAATTATATCTGAACAGCTGTCATTCACATATACAAAAGTTCAATTTACTAGCATCACTACACTGTAATATCTTTAATATAATTCCAGACCAAACATTGTGGGCTGAATTGAATGGCTTCCTTCCTTCCATTTGCTGGAAGAAGAAAAGCTATTGGATCCAACTTTATTATTTCACGTGAGTGAAACAACATAGCTAAGATTAAGACTGAATTTCATATCCAAGAGGATCAAGACCCTGATCCAAAAGCATAAGAGAAGACTCTCTCAACTTCTGTAGCAACTTCCGGAGTTCTTCCTTAGAAAATACCTAAAGAAAAAGGGATAAGTATGACTTAAGTTAGCAATACCTCTGTAAGGATTTATCACAGAACAGACAGGTTAACAGGAACACTATGGGAAAGAGTGATAGTATTCATATATAATAACCCCCAAGAAGTTAGTATTCACACATCTATCCTTCACTATCACCCTAATTACTGTACAGTGGTGCCTCGCTTAATGGGCGCCCCATTTAACAACGAATCCGCATAGTAAAAAAACGGCCGCCGCTGTGTTTCCGCGCCGATTCCTCGCTTACTGGGCAGCGAAAATGGCTGCCGTATGGAGGATTTTCGCTTAAAGGTGAGTTTTAAGCCTATAGGAACGCATTAAACGGGTTTTAATGCATTCCTATGGGCTTTTTATATTTGCATAGCGACGAAATCGCTTTGCAGCAATTTTTGCTGTACGGATTATCGTCGCTATGCGGGGCACCACTGTATCTGCTTTGAAATCTGGCATCCACAGAGAAAAACATTCAATGACACAGTCATGAGTATTCTTAATTCTCAGAAATGTTATACTGAAGAGGAAAACAATTGTTCATGCTGTCAGCCTACCAGCACCAAATGCCATTACAGTCCCTCTTCATAACATTCTCTATTGTGCCCTTCCTCCTTAAAAATAGCAGCGCAACTTTTCTATCCAATCATTTTGCAATGTGGCTTAAATACACTTCCATTGGCTGAATTCCACTAGTGCAACACAGCTATCCGCCTCCCCGCATTTGTCTTTGCAGTGCCCCAAACTCTTACAGCCTTCTGAAATTGATTTTCAGGGTGTCTGAATTAAAGGGGAATCCCACAGTTCTGCTGATAGGATCTATATCAGTGAAATGACTGAACTGGAGCCCAATACATAATAGTTGATATTCCTACAATTGCCTTGTGCTCTTTGAAATTTTGGACAAAATATACATATAAAGAGACATAAGTGCTTCTTACAGGGTAGATTCTCACAACTAAGTAGACAAACAGAGTGCTTAGAAATAAAACAAAAAAGTCCAAGGCTGTTAGTTTACCGTGTAGAGTTTATGCCGGTCTGATGCGATCAAGTCAGCAAGCCTCAGGTCTTCCTGGTACTGTCCTGTGCTGTGCAATACTGTATGAAGGAGGAAGCACATCACTGGCAAACAGAGTTTTCTCAGCATGAACATCTGATGAGTACGTTCAGGGTCCTCTTCAGCATCCTTGTTTAAAAAGTGTGGATAAATTTTTAGCAAATATGTCTTGTATAACTTTAGCTTGCTTTGTTCCAGTAAATCCAAAGTTAACCCCCATGACCACAAGCTAGCCTAATTAATGATCTTGGAAACACTCAAATCAGATATTTTGATATTGTGTGAGGTACATGTTGCTGAATATTACAAGCAAAACTCTCACAGCTTATAGCTATCTGTCTTTCTGTTTCTCCATTTATGACGACACAATAGTCACATAAGTATTCTGAGATTTTTCATGGAACAGTTATTACAAAGCTAGCAGTCAGTCAACAGTAAGTCAAGCAACAGAAAGTGAATACTTGAGCATCCACATATCAGCACACTAAGCTTGTGGACCACTGCTGTTTTCCTATTACAGCTAGGCACCCATCTCCTTGAAATATGTAGACATTACCTCTCTGACATCAACCATCCATCCTCCGTCAACAAATAGCAAGACATTGTACATTTTTTCTTTCACATCAGCTGTGAGGGCATCCAAAAGACCCTTCCAAATACCGTAGTCTACCTGAAAAACAAAAGCAAAAATGAATCCCAAAATGCTACAAAATGTGAAATTAAATGCTTTAAAAAAATCATACTGTGCCCACATCTGTTCCCTTTAATACACGAACAAACTATAAGGAGAGTTCTGGTGCAAATTGTTCAGACTGATCTGAACAATTGATACTCCTTGACACTCTAGACCAGATGTGAAAAATGTCTCCTTTCCTACCCTCCCCACCCAATTTTCATCAGTCCTAATCAGAACAGCAAGGGTGAGGATTACAGGAGTTGCACTTCAAAAACGTTCGGCAGCCCACTGCTGCACACCCTTCCCCTATGCTAAATACACACTACACAACTGTCTAAACAGCTCTGGGGCCCTAAAGAAAGTCTTAACAGAAAATAGTGCAAAAGAACTATTTGACCACAGTTGGGAAACTGACTATGTGCCAGTTAAACATCACTACTTCACTGCTCTCCAGTGGAATAAAGAAGCCAAATAACATTTCCAACTTAATCTGAATTGCAATTATTGAACTCCAGGTGTATGAATGCAACAGTGGTACAAAATGCTGTTCACAATAGTCACAAAAAGCCAACAATTTACAGTTACATGCTTAACTGTAAAGTTTGCTAGTAACATTTTTTTATGCAAGAGTTCTCTCTGTGAATCTGTGAGTCTGTAAAAATGAGACTCTCAATCATGCTTGTAAATAATTTCATGATGTGGATCTATTTGGCATTTAACTTGCAGCAGCCCCCCTCGATGGTTTTGACAGCAACTCTCAACACGTCCAGCCAATACAGCTGTTTGGAAATCACCAGACTGTGGAAGGCTGCTGGCAAGGTGTGGGACAATTCACATGGATGAGCACAGATGATATTTCTGGCTAAGGGTTTATATTTCAATAGAGGTCATGCAACAGTAATAAACAAATCAAATAACTCTTTATCTTACCTCATATTTCTTTTCTTTAAGTTCATGGGCTACCTTTTCAGTGAAACTTCCTTGTCCAGGCTGACCAGGCTTCTGTGGCATTGAGTTCATGTGCCGAAACCACTCACTGAAAGCTTCATGGGCTTCCTAAATTGAGACAGAAGTGTTTACTCCTATTTAAGTAAACAGTTGAGCAGCTTTTTTGGTCACATTATCTTTTAATGATGCAAGTCGCCTTTGTATACGCATTGTTTTTAGCTTTAAATATTGTCTTTTAATGATGTAAGCTGCCTAGGATCCTTTTAAAGGAGAAAGGCAGAGTGAAGATATTAAGAACAAAGGATCAGCCTCCAAATGAGTCTGGCTGATAGTACCAGTGCTCAGCTATTAAAACATGAGGCAGTTTTTCCAAAGGATGCTCTATGCATAAGCTGAGTCCATTTTTCTCACATTTGGGTCATATTAGCTCACCCCCATATATCTGGAACAAGGAAGCATGCCTTCTTGGTACCTTAATCATAGTCTTACCAGGTATGCTCTAATACACAAATGTTCTCTAATGGCATTGTCATCTTCAGCTGGAAGTGGACTATCCATGCCTTGCTCTTCCCACTGATTGTATATTTCTGCAATAGAGTCTTGCGGGATCTTTATAAAAACATCTTTGGCTGCTTCGTATTTTTTAGAAGCTGAAAGATAAATTAACTGCATATCAGTAAACCATGACTTTTGTTGATTAAATGATTAAAGAGTGACAGATTTCAGATTCATTAATCATATCCCCCCTGTATTTTAACACACTGATATTTGACAGTGCCGTACCCAAGAATTTCCTCATGATAGCGTTGCTCTGCTTAAGTGCTTCAGCTCTTTGTGCAGGATCAAATACCAGCCAGTCAATGACATCAATCTTCAAGCGATCATCCTAGGGGGGAAAATCCTGTAGTCAGTACACATACTCAGGTTTACCCAGTCAATTTTAAAGATACAAGGAAAATTAAAAACAATGGCATTATTTTTAAAAACTTAGTCATTTGACCCATACAGCCAGAGAGATACCAGACTTCATTACTCTAACCTGCTATGACAAAATGTGTTTGATTCACCAGAATTTTAAGAACAGTTTGTAAACAGACAGCAGGTATCTTCAGGCTAAATGTATGAAATAAATGGAAATTTTACTTTTTAAAATCAAAGGACAAGCAGATGAATCTTCACTGTTCCCTAAATAAGGAAAGAAGTAAGAAAGAAGGAAAGAAGTCTGCAACACATGCTGTTTCTTTATGCAAGGATGCCAGAAGCCTACTGATACTGACAGGTTCAGTTTTCACCTAACTGCAAAAGCTTCCTCCAGACAGCTGGGTGACTTGAAAGAATTCAAAATAGTTATTAACAAAATTTCCCTGGAAGGGATCCATTTTCTTTCTTCACAGGACAGATTGAGTTCTCTGAGAAATCCAATTCCTTCCTTGGATCTCAGGATACTAAACAGGAATCTGCACTCAAGTTACTGATTAAACATTTTTCCAATAAAAATTCTCTCAAAGACAATTGTGGAGGTTTACTGTTGGAGAACTCTAGCTTCTGCAGATCTTCAGAAGCACAGTGTCACATTTCCCTTCTCTAGAAGCTCTACAGATATCTCAGATTGGCTAGTATTTTGCATACATATGTAGGGAACGTGAGTCCTCACATATTTTTGCTGCTGCTCTGGTCTGAATTAATGCCTATTTCATAACACAACTGCAAGCAGTACGTAGCCAATACTGCTGTTGACAACATGCAAAGACCAGTTTTATTTTAAAATTATGAGTCTATATCTCTTCTGGAACTGCTTAAAATGTACTGATTCTAAAAATGTTGTAAAACTACAAGCAAGCAAACTTGGTGCTTGAACTCTGTACTCAGCAATATCTGTGTTACTGACAAGATAACTTTAGCACCACTGCTCACCTCTGTTGTCCCTGTATCTATTGCAAGATCATGGTGAGTGAACTCGCCAGAATCTTTTTTGCGAATATTTTCAACAACAGTTTTTGTTATTGTTGCAACATCCAGACCTGTACCAAAAAAATGGAAAATGTGTAACAGTTAGCATAAGGAAACAGGAGGTTTTTATAAGAAGGACACCTGGTTCAAATAGAAGTCACAGAAGAAAAGAAATGAAAGGAGTTATGAAACCACTAAAAAGACTAGTTTAGTTACAATGCATTTTTCAAAGCAGGATGCTGATCAAATTTTACACTGTACCTGACTGCCCAGCAAAGACTATGTTCAGAAATAATGTAACTAATATGCAACTGCTTGAATAGATTTGTCAACTTGGAAGACTTAAACATTCCTTGGACAATGTCATTCCTCTTGAAATTAGCTGCAATATTCCTTACCTGCCTCCTTTGCTAGCTCCAGGCAATGGTGTCGTTGCTCAGTCTCAGTGACATCTTCCAAAAACATTGCATATTGTGCAATCGCTACTTCTTGAGGCAAGTGGCTGACATAAAATGCTAGAAGATCAGTGTGCTTCTCACATATCAGCTGCTGCAGAATAAAACTTAGTGTAACATGTGGTATGAGCCATTTGACTTATTAAAGACAACATTCTCGATTTCATCCAGGTCCCTCTGCACTTACAGGTGAGGGGAGCAGGGGAAACATTAAAATGAATCGTCCTGCACTTGCCTTTTGGTAATGTTATTTATTTTGCTGAAACACTGCACTTAACAGCACCAGTCACTGGTTGGAATCCACTTTGTTGTAAAGTTACACAGGTATAATTTTGCTGGTGTTATGCCCAGGTAATGTACATTGCACAATTTAATTACACAGTCAGTCATGTGGTTCCCACTGTGACCAACGGAGCCATGCACTGGCAGAAGGGTTTAAAATGGATAGCACTTCTGCTGTGGGTATAACACTGAGTTATGCCTGCATAGCTATGCAAAAGGAACTCAAGCACTGAGTAGCTATTACAGACGTTGATCTACCTTTCTGGCAGAGGAAGAACAGTCCTAGTCCTAGTTCACTTAAACTGACTCATGGGCACTACAGTGAATCTAAGGCTTACCTGAATGTAGGTTTTCAAAACATCAATGGACACTTTGTCCTTAATGAGGAAAGAAACAAGATTTAATGTAGTAATCTAAACAAGTAAAAGTAGTATCTGTCATTTATTTAATGGAGCCTTCCTATATTTTTCCATGAAAACTGCTAGCTGGAAGCACTTCTCATGGTCTTTTTAAAACAAAAGATAAAACCCAAATGAAGACCAAAAGGATTAGAACGGAGTATTATTCATGTCACTGTTGCAAGGGACAAAAATACCAGCCATTCCTTAATACAATATTTTTATAATGCGATCATCCCATAACTTCCTTCAGTTTTGAAGAAAATAATTTTGCAGTGTCAGCAAAAGCAGGAAGTAAATATTAGCTACTATGATTTCAGATACAGGTGTGCAACAGAATTATTGTTGTACTGAAGTTACACAAATTTACACAAGTTAGATTTGTAAAGAATAAAAACACATGGCTAATTGATAAATAAAGGAACAGCTTATTTTTCAGGTTTGTTCTTTTATGCACGACTTGTCCTTAATTAATCCAACTTGTCCTTAATTAATGGAGAACTTACAGATGTGCATATAACACATAACCAAAAATATATCAAGATTTACCACCATTTCCCATGACTGTATTTATATTTTTGTCGCTTCTATTTTTATTAAACTATTACAGGGGACTCCCTATTTACAATGGCTCATTTTGTGACATGCTTCCCCCCCCCCCTTGTACAATCAGGAACTTAACAGAGCATGAAGAAGCAAAGGAAAAGAAGCCAAACAGGAGATGATATATAGGTGAAAAGAAAAGACAGTAGAGGGAGACATACAGAAAGCGTAATCAAGATAGCATAAGATGGAGGAAATGGGAAAGGTGGAGTGGAACCGCATGTAAAATGTGACCCACCTCTTTTTACTTTTTTATTAGCAAAGTGAAGAAAGGAAGAAATAACTAGAAAAATTCTCAGGACATATGTTTGGTCAGCTTTCTCCATCCCAACTCCTCTAACTCCTACAGCAGTACTCAGGACAGCTGAACTGGTCTTCATATAAAGTACTTACTTTGGTTTGTAGCCCCAAAGTACGGAAAAACAGAATGAGATGAGTCATGAACCGAAGCAGGTGACCTGGGAGTGTATTTCTCGCTTTGGAAAGCCATTTGTTAAATTCCTCCATCAAACCTAAGAAAATATAAGTCACAATTTGCTTTAGCAGTAAGAAATACATATTTAAAGGGTCCAGCATGCATAATATATTATCTTAAACGAACAGAGTACACTAAGTACAGCTGCACCATCATGCTATAAATTTAAGGAAACATAATTTCATTTTTCACATTACAGACAATAATGAGAACCAGTGTGGTATAACAGTTATATTATAATATACTGGCTCTGAATGCTGGGCAACAACTCAGCAGATCTGGTTGTAAATCTGCACCTAGTCATGAAACTCACTAGGTGACCTTGGGCCAGTTACCACCTCTCAGTCTGATCTGCCTTACAGGGCTCTGATGGCAGAGAGCAGGGAGGAGAGCCACGCATATCACCTTGAGCACAGGGAAGGAGAGGCAGGATATAATTACAACTAATGAGTAAATAATAAATATATACTTAACTAAAGTCAAGAGATAAAAGGAACAATAGGTAAGTTTGGCCTTGGAGTTCAGAACAAAGCAGGGCAAAGGCTAATACAGTGGGGTCTCTCCTTAAGAACGTCCCTACTTAAGAACAATCCAACTTAAGAACAGCTCCATTTGCTAAATTTTGCTTCTACTTGAGAACAGAAATCCAAGAGAAGAACAGGAAAAAAACCTTACCTGCTCTTTTTTTAACCTTAGGTCATCTTAGGTTAAAAAAAATTCTCCCCCTAGTGGTAGAGGACGTATTAACCAGCTTTGTATTAGTTCCTATGGGAACTAATCCTTCAATATACGAATGCACCTCTACATAACAAAAAAACAGCCAGAACGGATTAATTGGTTTTCAGTCCATTCCTATGGGAAATTTTGCTTCAACTTAAGAACGTTTCAACTTAAGAACACCATTCCAAAACCGATTAAGTTCTTAAGTAGAGACCCCACTGTAGAGTTTTGTCAAGAGAACAAGTTTTGTCATCACAAACACTCCAGCAACACAAGAGGCAACTCTACACGTGGACATCACCAGATGGGCAATATCAAAATCAGACTGATTATATTCTCTGCAGCCAAAGATGGAGAAGCTCTATACAGTCAGCAAAAACAAGACCTGGAGCTGATGGTGGCTCTGATAGCAAAATTCCAGCTTGAACTGAAGAAAGTACTGTAGGAAAAACCACTGGGCTAGTCAGGTATCATCTAAACCAAATCCCTTATGAATACACAGTGGAAG